CTCGGGGGAACAGGGACTCCCCCAATGCCTGCTGGTCCCCTCTGACTAATTTGTAACAGGTCACTAGATCCCCCCTCAGCCTTCTCTTGTGGAGGCTGAACAGGTTCAGGTCCCGTAGCCTCTCCTCATAGGGCCTGCCCTGCTGCCCCCTGATCATGCGAGTGGCCCTCCTCTGGACCCTCTTGATGCTGTCCACATCTCTCTTGAAGTGCGGCGCCCAGAACTGGACGCAGTACTCCAGCTGCAGCCTGACCAGTGCCGCATAGACGGGGAAGATCACCTCCTTGGACCTGCCTGAGATGCATCTGTGGATGCATGACAAGGTACGGTTGGCCTTCCTGACTGCATCCCCACACTGCCGGCCCATGTTCATCTTGGAGTCAATGATGACTCCAAGATCCTTTTCCAAAGGATCTCGGAGTCAGGGAAGTAGTGAAGACTTGATTCAGAAGGCAGAATCCTATTTTACTTTACGTGTCTATGGGGCATTTAACCAACCATGTAAGTTTCATTTTTAGCACTTACATGTAGCTTTGAATTCTATGTTGCTCTCCTCTTGAAACTAAGACACTGCACCTTGTACTTAACATTCATTAGATAAATAGCTGGAAAGCAATGGGAAACTTTTTCTCCTTGGGAGAAGGACCCTGAGCCTTTTATCCAGGGAAACACCGATTCACTGAGCTACAAATCCTTTGACTTGTTCTCTCCCTCCTAGCCCCAGTGGGCCAGCTTTAAGAGGAGCACTAGGAAGTATTCTAACTATTGCCTATTTATGACCTAATGAAATAAAATTACACATTCCCATTTTTCTTGCCAATTCCTAACTTCAGCAAGATACTCTCCCCTTTGTTTGTAAAACAGGGAATCACAAGCTAGGGTTTTAAATCCCTTGAATTTCCTAATATAAGTTGTGCACAGCTAGCAAAATCATGTAGTTTAAGTGACTGGTACTCAAGTCCAGCAAACCAGTTACTTTGTCTTCAAAATGTTGCAGTCATCCATGTGTCACTAGGAATTTTCAGAGCATATCCCATGATTCTCTAAGCTACAGTAAACTGAGTTGCTATAAGGACTCTCTCCTGATCCAATAGGGAACTACATGGGAAGACACTGGAGGACTATTGGAACTCAAATGGTTTAGTCTCAACTGGTTAGCAGCCCACAAAGGATCCCATTTAGGCTTTAGCCTATACCCCCAGAATGACTAAAAATAACTCCAGTTGGGAACACCTCTACAAGTGGGTCAGAAGACTTTGTGGTCAGGGAAGAGTGAAGAATGGGGAGAAATTTAGCTCCACCCTACCCTATTTTCTGGCCAAGTAGCTGAGTCAGGTAAGGGGCAGTAGAAATAAGTAATAATTTGCTGCTATTGTGAAGAACAGCACATTACTAAACCTCTGGAACAGGCAGGGAAGAAATAGTGACTTAGATGCATGCCTTAGAGTCACAATGTTCTAGAGCTACCTCTGGGATGGTGCAGCTTATATAACTTCTCTTGCTCAGCCTCATGGCCAAAGGAACAATCCATCCTTTAACATTAAACAAACATACTGAAATCCTCAGATGATAGATGCTGCATAAGTGCAAAATGTTATTTTAACCCCCCAGATGTTGCTTATCTTCCATGTCCAGTTGCATCTCAGTGCACAACTTACCTCCAGAACATTTTCCTGGTTTGGGTCCAAAATAAACTCAAATGACTCATTCCACACAGGATTAATATCATTATTGATATGCCTTGTCCTCTTTCTACAATCAGGAGCTGATGGGATAAACAGCTCCACATAGGGATCTGGAGTGTCAACTGTAGAGTAACAAACAAATGTGGAAGTAAGACTAAGTTTGAATAAAATTAACCAAAATAAAAAAATAGGCAAAGGTGATTTAATTGCAAATAGATGCATTATATACAGTAATAAATCAAAGATACATGAGTTGATCTTGTTCCCAAAAAGGTCAAAGTAATTACACTATTAACATTCAAAAGAGCAGGACTTGGCTTTGAAAAAGTAAGTGAACCTACAGGGAAACACAGATATTAATAGAAAAATAATTTGATGCTACAACATAGTTGTAGTTATTTAACAGTGCTCCAGATCCTCTTCCTCCACAAACTACCCTGTGATAGCATAAACTATTACCACTTTGGAGCAAATATACCTAGTGAGGTTAGAACAGACATTCAAAAAGCCCAAGGCAGAATCAATCCAAGTTAAATGGTTTTCTTTAAGTGGTGTAGTTTGGATCAGTAGCAAACAGAGCACACATTCATCCTTTGATGGGAAGGGGGGCATATATCTTAGACCGGGTTCCACCATTTTTAAACCAGTATGTGTGGTATGTATGTATTTTAGACCGGTTTTTTCAATCACTTTTTGAATACGTAAAAGTGTAATGTCAGTTCCTTGCCTAAGTGATTTGTAGTTAGAAAGAAAAGATGTTTTGGATTCAGTTTTATGCCCTCGTGAGGGAATCCTAATGCCATCAACAGGCGTTTTTCAGGAAGAGGCACAAGACTGTGCTGCTCATGTACCTTCTAAGGCCCTGAACCACGTCATGAGGCGATCCATGAGTGAAGTCACTGAAATTAATAGAAGTTTGCTCCAGAGTAAGGGTCACTGTATAATCAGGGACTTATTTACATATTTAAATGGTAGGTGTATAGCTCATAATCTAATAACAGCTCCATTTGTATCTAGTGCACAGTACCAGTGATGAAGACAGGATGCTGGGAGAATTAGTAATTGAGTTGTATTTGCCTGTTACTAAAAAAAGGTTGAATGCTGCCGAAGCCTACCTGCCTATCCAGTGAGGGCAAGTATATATATTTTTGACAGATGCATGAAATACCCTTCCAGTTTAACCATCAATATCCTGGTGAAAGAGGGTGAAAAAGAAAGTTTTTCAACTGTTCCAAAACTGCCATAAAACTAATGCAAGGTTGCAATATTTCTCTCACAATCTATTTATATTTAATGAGTATGTGCTGTAGTTCCTTTTGAAAAGATACATATCAGCTTGACCACATCTACTTTTTTATATCAGTTTCAAAGAAGAGGATTCAGATATCAAGATAGCAGGCATACTACAGAACTGCTGCAATATGAAAATGCAATGTTAGTAAAACAAAGTGAGAGCAATGACACATTTAATTAATTTCATATGATACAGAGAATAACTTCTTTTTCCATGTCTCAACTTTATTCATGTCACCCAAATTTATGCAATTGGATTTGTTTTGTTCTCTTTTGCTTTGTTTTTTGGGGGGGAGAAGCAGGATGGGGGGTTTTTTGTTTGTTTTGTGCAGCCATAGTCTTTGATCCTGCAAAAGGAATTGTTATGGATACACTATCAGTCCCCTTACTTTCACTAGGGGCTCTTCATGGGAATTGAACTATTGTAGCTCTTTGCAACATCAAGTGCAATACTGCTGAAACACACCTGCACACTAATAAAGTTAAACCTCTTCATATCTTCTAGGTTGATCACAAGCTAAAATCAGTTCATCTGAGGTCAGAAAATCTAGTCACATCTTTATCAAATAAAATCTTCACAAGTTCTTTTCTCCTTTTTGTCCTGGAACCTATTTCAGGCTCTTAAACATGTAGTTAGCACAGCAACCATCTTCTTGACGATCTTAATGAAAATGATACCCTTAGCTGAACCCTTTAAAATGCCAAATATAGGTGGTCAGAACATTTCTGATTACACAGAACATTTTACACAAATCCTCATGTTAAGTTTAAACAAACTGCTGCTGACACTGCTGCTCCCTTCCCCCCAACCCACAGCTCTGGAAGCTAAGTCAAGAGTGCCTGCAAGAACCACATGACCACTGAAGCTGCAAAATGGAAGGACCCAGCCAGCTAGACCAACGAGAGAATGAAACACAGAGAGAAACACAAATGAAAAGGAGGCAGCTGGCACAATTTGATCAAAATATTCAGCAGGAAATGTTTCAGCACTCCTGGACAGAATAAAAGAAGTCTGAAACTTTGAAAGCTGTCATGAAATGAAGCTGTTGCCCTTCAACCAGGGCCAAAACACCAATAACTGGAAACAGCTATAGGCCATCAAATCTATGAGGCTGTGTACCAAACAATCAAACCTCAAATATTTTATTTATGAATTTCCAAATTGGCATTAAAAAAACCACTTCTTTTTATTCCCGCATTTAGTCTGTGGGAGAATGCCTGTGCGTATTAGCTCATTCTTAAGATGTGAGAGCAGAGAGAGCAGTCTGCCCAATTTTATAAAACTATTTAAGAACCAATAAAAGGATGGGAAGCTCTTTAGAAAAAACAACTCTTAGCTTCCAGAAGGTTAACTCTCTCTATCTGGGTCCTGTTACATGCTGCGCTTTAAGCTGCTCAAATGTTGATTGTTGTTAGTGCTAACTCAAGTTTGGAGCAGTCATACCTTAAGGTGGATAACATACAGTCTGAGGGCCGGCCAGGCAATTTCATCTGGCCCACCAGGCAATTTCATCTGGCTCGTGGGTGCCCACCAATTAATTGTTCCCTGCCCAGCCTGCATGCTTGACTCCCACCCTCATGAGTGTGTGGAAGGGCCCCAGCTTCCAGGAGGAGCTGCTGCTGCCACTGCTTTCCCAGTATCCAGCAGTTCCTCCTCATCTCCCTCCTGCAGTGCTTGATCCAGGCAGTAGGTAGGGAAGCAGCAGGGGTGGGAGAAGGGGGAGCTGCAGTGGGGGCTGTGGAGCTGCAGCTGGGTGGGGGCATGGAGCATGGGGCTAGCAGGAGCACAGAGCTTCTACCCAGGGTGGCAGAAGGAGCGTGGAGCTCAAGTGGGTAGGGTGTGGGTGTGAGGGAAGTTGGGGGGTGTGCTCACACTCCCCCCCCCCCATAGCTGACAGCTCACGCCAGCAGCAGGCGTGAACCCTCAGGGCACTCATTGCCTGCACAAGTGCTGCCGCCCAGTGGCTCACAGCTCCAGCCAGAGCTGCACATGGCAGCAAGAAGCACAGCCAGGCAGGCCACCTCTATCACGTGGGGCTCCCTGCAGCACACATGAAGCTCCCAGCACCTGTGCACCACCAGGGGGAAGCCCCATGCATTGGAGCTGGCTGACTTCCCTGCTCTCTGCCACCATTGAAGCAGGGCTCCCCACCACTTCCGGCAGTCCCAGAAGCTGCACATGGCAGGAGGCAGCAGGGAAGGCAGCCAGTTCCAGCATGTGGGGCTTTCCTGCAGTGGCACATGAGGGCTGAGAGCTGCATGTACACTGTGGGGAGCCCTGCACAATAGAGGCAGGCTGGCCTGGCTGTACTTCTTGCCACCACATGCAGCTCCAGCTGGAGCTGCCTGCCACCAGGCAGCAGTGCCTGCGCAGCGTACAAGCACCCCAAAGTCCCCTGCCTCCTGCTGCTGCTACTGTTAGCAGTGGGGACTGCGTGCCATTGGGGGGGAGGGGTGTGGGGGTGGTCTTCACACTTCCCCACCCTCTCTCACACCCCACAAACCCCACACCCTGTCCCCACAACCCTCCACATATACACACACCCTACACACAGCCACACCCTCTCACAAACCCCTCCTACACACTCCCCCACACCCCACCATACACACATACCCCCAACCACACCCCAAACACAATATAAAAAAGAGTAAGACTTTATTTTTGAACTATTATGCAATTAACTCTATATACACTACACAAACACAAATCAAGATAAAAATATTTTTGAATAAAATTAAAATATGTTATAGTAGGTGTTTGACTTGTAGTGTATAATTTGGGGTTTTTCTGGTTCAAAGATGGCAACCTCCCCTCCCAAAAGGACAACTTCTGGGGGCAAGGGAGGGACTTCCAGTGGCAAAGGTCAAGGGCTAGGGGTGGGATTTCCAGTCCCAAGATGGCGACCAGGGCATGGGGCACCTGTCAATGGATGGGGCTACCCTTGTGGCTCTCCACAGCTCACTAAAACTCATTAAGTGGCCCTCCAGTCTAAATAATTGCCCACCCCTTGAGGCTAAAAACCTTCTGACCATGCCCAACGTACACACCTGGGACTTGCCACTAAAGGGTTTGCAAGCAGAGGGGCCTGACTAGGAGCTACAGCTGCTAGCTGCCACTCCAGGGCTGGTGAGCCAAGACAGGCTTCTAGGCCTGTTCTAGAAGGGAGTACGTAAGAGACAGATTGGCAAAGAGGGGCAGGAACATGAAGCTGGGAGGCACACAGTTAATGGGATGGGGCATGGGAGGTGGAAAGCAAATAAGGAAATGGAGGGTGGGGGTGGAAGAAGGGTGATGAAATGAAATCATCCAGCCACTGAAGGATGAAATACAATAAAAGGAAGTAAAAAAATAATAAGAAATAAAAAGGAATAAAATTAAAGAAGGCCCCATGTTCTAATAATTTTGTATTTGGAATTTGGATGGGGGGGATGGGGGAGATGCCATTCATACTTCCCAGAATGGAAGCAGTGGGAAAAGGCACTTTTAGGGGAGCTACTGTCCTTGCCCTGGGAAGCAAGCCCCAGAGCACGGGGATCCAATCGGGCCCCCTACCTTGTTCCCCTCCCCTCACTAAACCCCACTCCTAGACCCATCCATACTCTGTAACCTAGCTAGCTGCACGTGTTCTGCAGGCTGTTTGCACTGGTGGGCACAGGAAGGTCACACCCCTGAGATGGGAGGATGAGTTGGCTTGGTGCTAGAACTCCCCACCCTACCCCACCCTGCAGTAGAGTTAAGGGGGTGGAAAGTTTGTCCACACTGAACAGAAGGGTGGGAGAGCAGAAACTGCATCCTGGGATACTAGAGGACTACAACTTGGGTGGCTCA